TTGCTACCGTAATGCAAACAACAGTAATGGGCCTGAGGTCTCCTGGAGTAACTGGGCAGGCGGCTCTGCCCCTTAGAGACGGGGTCTCCTTAAATCAAGGCCCTGAGACTCAACAGCAAGCAGCATAAAGTCTGGCCTTTACCCACGCTGAGTATCCACCTGGCACCTGCCTAGACGCCCTGCCCAGCGCAAATGGGCTCAGGGCAGCCGGATCCGCGGAGCAGCTTCAACACCCCCATACGCAGCACCTCAGCTGACCCCACCCTCGCAGGCTGCTCCCCCCATACCAGGCCAGCATCCCACTCTGCCCCAGCCTGCAGAGCCGTGTGCCTCTCAACAGAGCCATCCCTGAGCGCGGCTGTTCCCCATGCATCCTGTGGCCCCAGCAGAACAGACGTGGCAGCAACCGTCCCCTGGATCTGATGAGCTCCAGAAGCAGCTGGCAGTGCAGGTGTTACCCTGCTGTTAATGTAACGTGCGGGTGGGAGCCGGCGCAGTACAACCGGCCGGTGTCATTCACAGGAGTTGGCTACAACAATTATTAGAATAATTTCCCCTTCAAATCCATCTTCTCTTGTTAATGAGCAGGTCGTTAACCTTAATGGTGTCAGTGCGAATTCATTAGCAAGTGCAGCTAAATCACCACCTAGCGTCCAAGGTAATAGCAAGGCAATCCTGGACTGTGGAAACCAGCGTGAGTCTTAAATGCAGCTGGGCACTCCCGAACTGGGCAGGGGGAGATGGTACATTGAACCTTGCTGACAAGATGACCACCCAGCTTCTCTAGGTACAAAGATTTTTAAATTTTTGTCTAAACTTTCCCTCAGGGAAAGAAAAGTCTTTGGGCCTGCTTCACTGCCAGGCCTTTGGCTTTCTCCTGGCCTGGCCTCCCTGCAAAACTGGAAGGGGCTGCTGGCAGACCTTACCCTAAACACCGGGCTCTCAGCACCACGCACATCCCTAGAGGCAGAGCAAGGGAGCCCAGCAAACATGCTGCAGAGGGCTAGGGGGTGGTTTTTGTTTTGGTGACAGAACCAGGGTGCAACCCCCCCAGGGATATTGTCAGTTTGGGCCTTGTATAGCTCCTCCCCTTGCCTGGTACATCAGGAGAGGCAGGCTTGGTGCTGCAGGACCATGGCAGGGTCTCTGGAGGACTTGGCTAACGGCAGGGCCGGCCCCAGGCACCAAGCACCCAAGCTGGTGCTTGGGGCGGCACCTGGAGGGGGGCGGCGGCAGCGCGGCGCTCTGGCCGCGGGGGGGGGGGGGGGGCCGGCGCGGCCGCGGGGGGGGGGGGGGGGGGGGAGCCGAGCCCCCGTCGGGGCTCGCTGCCCTCCCCCCGGGGCTCTGGCCCCCGGGCGGGGGAGAGCCGAGCCCCAGCCGGGGCTCTGGCCGCCCTCCCCCCGGGGCTCTGGCCGCCGGGCGGGGGAGAGCCGAGCCCCAG